TTATCCGATCTACTGTCATGCACGCTGTCATTATCTGATCTACTTTGCCATGCACGCTCTCATTATCCGATCTACTGCCACGCACGCTGTCGTTATCTGATCTACTGCCAAGCACGCTGTCATTATCCGATCTACTGCCATGCACGCTGTCATTATCTGATCTACTGCCATACACGCTGTCATTATCTGATCTACTGCCATGCACGCTCTCATTATCTGATCTACTGCCATGCACGCTGTCATTATCTGATCTACTGCCATGCTCGCTGTCATTATCTGATCTAGTGCCAAGCACGCTGCCATTACCTGATCTACTGCCATGCACGATGTCATTATCTGATCTACTGCCATGCACGCTGTCATTATCTCATCTACTGCCATGCACGCTGTCACATTATCTGATCTACTGGCATGCACGCTGTCATTATCTCATCTACTGCCATGCACGCTGTCATTATCTGATCTACTGCCATACACGTGAAAGATATTACATATGGACAATATGTTGCTCTTTAAGGTATTGTGATTGGTAGAGTTGTTTTCAACCGTCATTTGACAATTATATAAAAATTTGTTGGCTCTTTATCGATAGCATAGATAGCATAGATTTTCTTCTATGCTATCGATAAAGAGCCATTGCTCGAAATGTCTAGCTATTTTTAATAGTTATTTAGGACTACGATTACCAAATATTATCTTCTAATCTTAATACACACGCGCAAAAAACTCGTTCGCTTTATAGTTTAGTACATGAAAGGAGACGTGACTTGTTGTGATTAAAACAATTTAACGATATTTGCATTGATTTTGAGAAGAAGAATTGCATCATGATTGTGTTAACCGCAAAGTTCGCAAAACCGTTCAATTCGGTCTCAGTTGTACTGCACTTGATATGCACCATCGTTTCTACTACAATACTGAACGTAAAAGTCGTCGACCTTATTGACAGCACTGAACTATTAAAAGTCTCTATTTCAACAAATCTCCCTCAAATCTTTCAAGTATCTGAATATAAAGAAAACTAGTATTTATATTTTAAATCGAGTAGTGTGACGTGCGCAGTTCGTCGAAGGTCGGCGAGAAGTATTTTCGTAAGCTGTAATCAATTGTTTTTATTTGAAATTCGTACTAATGATGTAATTTAAATAAATGAAACAATTAAATTCGTAGACATAGGAAAGGTGCTTTGCTTTATCTGTAAAGTGTAAAAACCTTTTTTTTTTACAGTAAATGGAACTTTCATTTTATTTTCTGTAAAAACGTACAATGCCGTTTTTAGTTCATGTAACCTGTACCAGCTACCCCCCTTCCCTCCCTCTAGTAACTCAAATATCATTTGTAGTCTTGTGGAAGCAGTTCTGTTTTTTGAAAACCATTCAAGTTGTTGTACTGGTATTTTTCGAGCAACCCATCTGAAAAATGTCTCTACATTCCCGTGTGCGATGTTTACAGTCAAAAACTAGTGAAGTACTTATACCAGTATTGTGACGGGTTTACTGTGACTGGGAGTTAAATTGTAAAACATTTAACACTACAAAGTAAACATATGTTGTTTTATTGCAATGAACATGTATGTTTTGAGCTTTTCACTAATAGTATCTGAATAGGCGAATGAGACCCCTGGAAATATCACTTAAACGAAAAGGTTTTAATACTCCATAATATGACTTGTTTTTGACTGTATGTATGCGTATTTTGGTCCGACTTGCCATGGATATCACGTCCATCTATATAATGGACTGCGTTTTTAGCATTCATACACTATAACAGTTCTAAATCGTACAGGAAGACTAGACTACCTTGATTATGGAGAAATTCGCGTGTGTTGTCACGGCCGGCGACAGCTGATTTACGAACCAACAAGATGCAACTTTTGTTGACAAAATCCAACTACGTATCACATGGCGTAAACTTTGCCTGTCAAAGTATTATTATCACTGATTATACAATAATTCACGAAGACAAACATACGTTTCAAATTTAAATGATAGAGAATGGGATATTCTAATCACAGAATGTAAACTTTAAATACAGGAAAGGCAGACAATATATGCAAAGAATGAAGATAATAAAGAATAAAGATAAACTTTTGGTGCTAATAAGACTTAAACAGAAAGCTTTAGAAATTAAAAAAAAAAGAAATCTAATCCACAATGTGGAAATATTCGCCATTTCCGGTTTTCTTTTTTAAAGCTTTAATTGGCCATAGAATCAAAAAATGGCAATTAATCTTCACGGTGTAAATACAGCAAACATTCCACTCCGTAATACGCTTTCCCTGACTGCATTCGTTAAACAGCGCCACCATATGACCAATATAAGTAAGAAAACTTGGTATTCCTGTGTACAATATTTACATTACGCTTATAGAATTTATCATATCTGTGTTTATATGTTTTGTGCTAGGCAACAGTTCTGGACAGTGAATGTCACTGTTGTCTCTCCTGACTTTTTTTTCTAATGTGCAATTTTCAAATGCCGATGCTGGCGTTTTGCCACAGACTGACCATATTCATTTGGGACCACGTAAAAAGGTTCCGTGAAAATCTTTGTGAATCATATAAACCCTAGTCAAATAGTAGACCGATACTGTATTTTAGCTAAAAACGACTATGAGCATCCTAGACTATGTTAACCATATTGTTGTAAAAGCATATGTATTTATGTTAGGCCATGGAACTAATGTTTAGTTCCATGGTTAGACCGGCACCCTAAAATTCACGTAAAAAAAAACCCTAAAATCAACGAAATAGTTGTTATATGGTAGACCTTGGTGTGACATGGTTATATTGAGTATTTGTCACAAACCATAATTTGAAATTGTTATTTCAAGGACAATTCCCAGTTTATTTTAAACCTATTTTATAAACTGTGATTTTAAAATAATAAAGGTAGTCATAATATTCGACAAACGTATTTCAATCTTTATTTGCAGATATAACAACAAAACCGACACATTGCTACAATATTATTAATTTATACTTGGTTGGTTGAATATAGCGCCCCCATTTATACGTAAAATTATATTGTGATGACAAGTTCGCTATACTAGACATGGTCTAATTGAAATTTATAAGAAATAAATGGAAACGAGTGTCAGTAATCTAATTGTTGCTGCAGATGTCCACATTCATTTGTTTAACGTGCACCACGCGAATGCAAATGTGATTGATCGTTGTTTACCTTAATTGTCACGTGATCTCCCTGATGTAAACAACCTGGAAGTCGCCGCCATTTTGTGCAGACACTCAAAAAAGCTTTCAATGGAATTTGCGAAGTTGTATATATTGTCCGTTTCAAATTCCTAGACAATTTTGATGGATTTTTCCCAGAGATTTTGGACGAGCTCGCCTAGATGACGAACCCATGTTGTATAGTCAAAGAAGAAAGACTGGAAAGTGGCTGTTGGTGGTGATTTGGTGTATTTTTTAGTGCTACGACTACCCGCCGCATATTTGCGGCATATTTTGATGCCAACAACATGGCTGAGCTCGGGTTAGCAAATAGAGAAATGCGGAAACCGAAAGTTCAGAAGGTATTGTTATTTTGAGTTTTGACTTAAGTTAAACAAACTTTTTACAATTAATTGATTGCGATGTTATGTGGAATTTAGTCGACATTGTCGTTTTTGCTGTATACTTATCTGTATACTTATATGCGTTTGTTGATGCACGGACAATATTTTGAACTCGATGACAATCTTGGGCGACCATTGATTTTGACAGTTCATTAATTTTTCATTGGTCTCATCATGTGTTCAGTGTCCATTTAACTTTGATTGAAATGACAATAACTATGATGCTTCTTTGTCTAATTGATCCCTCTTTGTTTTATTCTGCGTGTTACAGAGTGTAATATCCAAAATACCACAAAACTTGACGAAAGAAGACTTACTAAAGTTACTCAGTTTGTTGGAAGGGGAACTACAAGCTAGAGATATCGTTATTTTGAACATGAAGGTAAGATTGTATGTCTTCATGCAATTGTTACGTTCTCTGGTGATAATATGTACATCCCTTGCCATATATACTAATCCTATTTTTATGTAGATTCGATCTTGTTTTAACACTTTGAGTACGTATGTAGTTTATTTCAGCTCCATTCTCTGAAATATAAACTAAGAACTGTGTTTTCATTGGATTTAGGACAGATACTACTGAAATATTGCATTCACTGGATGGCTGGCTTATGCCAATTGGACGGACACAGTCCTTAGTGATCCCACTGGTCCACTAGTACATGTATAACATATATCTCACAAGCACATTTAGTTTAAAATAATTACAATGAAAGATCACTTTGGCTAAAATATGAAATAATGCTTCATTTTGCTCTGCAGTTTACTGATTGCATTGTATTTTTGATTATTTGACTTTCATTAAAATTTATCTTTGCTGAAAACAAGTATTAAAATTAAGACCTCTATTTTTTAGCTGATTTGTCATAAATTACATCAAGATAATTGTATTTTCCCCTTGCAAGTTATTTGGCTAATTTATCCCTTTATTGAAAATAATTTGACAGTTTTTAGTTGTTCATACTGAAGCACAGTTTTTGGTTTCGTACTGGCATTCCATCGTAATACTTGACCTGTTGGTAGAGTTATACTACTGCACGTGGCTTGAACTGAACCCTTTTGTGTAATCAAAGTTCACAATATATAAATTGGTGGATTCTTGCACGTTCTCTTAGTGTATGATATGGAATATTGAATTATATGCTTTTCTATTTGTACATGATATGGAATAGGGTTTGACTTGTAAACTCACTTGTCCCAAATGTTTATTGTCTGTATCTATTGTAAAAGGCAAGTGACTTACTGTTCAGTTGTCTGAATGCTAGTTTTACTTGTCTGGGGCTATAGGACTAAGTGTAAATCCCTGTGAAGTATTATGCGCTTCCTAAAGCTTGTGCCTGAAATCATCACTGTAAGAAACACTAAATAGTTCAACAAAATGTCCACTAATTTAGTTATAGTACTTACACACATGTAGGACTTGCTGTGAATAAGCATGACAATTCTTCTGTGCACTGTTCTTGAGATTATGGGCTTGGGTGTTATACAATCAGTAGGGCAGAAGAAACAAACAATTCCAACAACCATTCCTCTTTTTATCAAAACTATTTTTTTTTATTTAATGCAAATTACTCCCTAGAATTTTTGCATAGAATCGCAGCTAATTTGCATAAATTAACACATTGTTTGGCATAAAAAATAGGGAAATAAAACAAAACCAGTTTTTTCTTTTTTTTTACTATTTATTTTATGTACAATCTATCACTCTTGTATCCAACAAAAGTGCACTGCATGTTTAGTATTGCAAATGTCTTACAGAAATACTGAGTTTTCTGTTTCTTTGCTTGGCTCATAAATCAGCAACGTTATAAAACCCTGTTCGACCCCGGTAAATTAAACATTGGGTTGATAATTCTCCCTGCTTGTTTTCCGTTTCTGTTGTTTTCCGGTTAAGTACAACAACTGTTATGAGTCACGATACTTATGCTACTATGTTCGAGCATGGATATACATGTACATCCATGGTTCGAGCATGGATATACATCCATGGTTCGAGCAATAATAGTTTTTTCTGGCTGAAATTATCCATATTTATGTCATTTTTTTATTCATTGATATTGTTCAACACAATTATGAACAAGTCAGACAAGGAGGTCTTAATTACGAATCGTCGCCATTGTTATACCACGTGAAAATTGAGGCCTTTCCTCCAAGAAATAACACTCCAAGTTTTACGTTTTTTGATTAGAATTCCTGGTTTCTTGATAAATATATTATTTTCCATTATGCTTCACTTAATTCATTCTGATCTGAGCATGATATGCGATCCGAGTGGGAAGTTCACGCTCGCTGGATCTTACGTGGGTGATGTCATTTTGAATTCACGATCACGAGGTCAAAATTGTTTACATCATAAATATATATTTTTTCACATTTTTATCTCAAAAAACAAATACATTATCAAAAATACTGACAAAAATCAAAACCTAGAATAATAGTACAATTACATTTCTAAAACACTGGAAACATGTTTCTTTTGACCCCAAGTGTGACTGTATCATTTGCATATGAATATACGTTTGGCAAAGTACGTTTGTCACCGGGGCTTACGGCTTTGTCTTTATAGAACTGCTTTGTTTTTTAAAATGATATCCAACCAATGAGAAACAACAAGGAATCCTGGGAAATTGGCGTTAATACCATGCATTTGTGGATTTAAACCATAGACCTTAGAATGAGAAGGTCTATGACTTAACTAGTTAGCCAGAAAACTTTACAGTCTGTGAGAGACTGAAGAAATCAGATAAATAATAGCATCGCGGAGGAAACGCATAGCGTCACGGGCAAATCCCATAGCGCCGCGGGCCGCGACGCTATTTTGGCCTGGGGAGAACACTGACTACTTGTATGTTCTACTCAAAAAAATGATTTTATTCATTTATTCATGACTGCTAGGAAATCCACTATAATGACAAATCTGCAAATCTTAAGTCTTAAGTGGATGATTGTGATGAAAATAAATAAATTAAAAAATATAAAAAATAGTTTGAAAAATTACCTGCCTACACAGTATTTTGTTACTGGAAACATAGGGCTTAATGAGTGTTATTCTAATCCTTATATGAGTTTATTATAGTGGACAGAACCAAAATTTAATCTGTTTAAATCAAGATACCAATGAGAATAGGATTTTGAAAAAAATATACACAAAATAAGTAAAATTTTGTAATTTTGTATGTTATATATCATGGGTTTCATTGTGTGTTTGTCAGACCAATAAAACCTGTGGTCATATCTGACTGTTAGCAAATCATAAAAGATTTGCTATTACAAGAATACTCAAGTGCAGTGTAAGCAAACATGGCAAGATAGATGTTTATGCATCAAACAAGTAAATTCTTGCCAGAGGTTATCTTGATGTCTGCTAAGGGTAAAATTGGTTATTACTATATTGGCTTTTTCAGCTAATTTCAAACTGGTTTAGCCAATAGGAAGATGAAAAATCATGAATTTGTCAGAAAATGCATTACTCTTAATATACACTTTACACATGTACATGTACCAAGCAATATGTTTTCCAGATGTTCAAGGTACATGGTAATGACATGTTTTAAAATTACTATTTTATCAGAATAATTCATGGTTTCAAACTAGCCATTGGTGATGAAAGTTGCCCAATCTTGCAGTCAAATCTAAATAAAATTCACCATTGGTGACTGGCGAAAGGTTAGCTAAAAACCAACTTATCATGTACATATTAATTTTTATTTGACACAGACAACACTGTTTTAATTCCTACCAGTAATATAGCACATGAGCATGAATAGAATATGGCCGTCACCTGTTGTCAGTAT